AATATGACTATAAAATAGACCAAAAACTGGTGTAGGCGTAGTTAACCTCCTAGAAAATCGAGTGTAAGGCACTGCAGATGGCAAATTGCAAACAATGACTGAAGACATTCAACGAGACGGCGCTCCAAGCGCGCATTTCCGTCGAGAAAACGAAACGCTGTGTAAAGTCAACCGATATGGCAACATCAAAGAGTGCCAGAAGAAGGACCTCATAAGAGACAAACAGCTTATTAGAGCAGCAAAAGAGGGCGAAGAGAGATGGAACCCACACAACGAAGTATTCTCTCCTCTGCACGCTCAGTACACAAAGTTGAAGGAGTTGTTCGAGATCTTTAAATTGTGAAAATAGACATTACGTAAAACTGCCTTTTTTTATACTTTCTTTGAGGATTGATGTAGATAGTAAATTTCAATGTTTTTGTTACACTAGACATGTACTTGCATAAAATCATAAAGCTGTTTCCGCAGTACCTGTAGGAGTACTTGACTACATGTGTCAGAGCAGCGCGAATCTTTTTATTGAAATTATTGAAATAAGTGTATTAATCGATGAAGCTGCCTAACCCATAAAATCATATTCAATAGCAAAAGAATTAATTTATGACTGCCCAGCGCCACTCATTAATTTCATAATCTCCGTAATCATCGTTGACTTATAAAAGCACTGCTTTCAAATGCCACGATGAGCCAGTGGATCGCTTTCAGTTTTTCCTCAACGCACGGTATTACTTCGTTCTTATGCTGATGAGAAAAGAAACCACACAGAAACTGCCCATGGCTTGATTGAAACTGATCAGTATGTTGTCCAGTCTCTTTTAAACTCCTTAAGTCCCCTGGCAAGTACTTTATCAAATTATACATTGGTAGACGCAGCAGAATTATTTTATGGTACTTGAAGTCCCAAATAAGGAATCAGTGGTAAGAAAACGTAGCAGAGTCATAAGTACTAACTGTCATATTGTATGTATTACAAAATAGGTTTGGTCATACATATAAACTTTGACCACATGGGTTTAAATATAACACGTAATGTTCATTAAAGGGTTTATGCATTTGGATAGTCAGTCAACGTTTGATCATCCTTGGCTTATTTTCATAATGTATAGCTTTAAACAGATGGAATAAGCACGAATTCATTTATTAGACATAACTGACAGCAGAACGAGTTATGAAATTAGCAGTAAATGCCTTTTGAAATGCCATTGGTGAACAGTTTCAGTGGTCCATAAGCAACCTTTGCTTGACGGTAATCGAGACGTTCCTTCTGTAATAGAAGAACGACAAGAATACCCGTAACAATCATCTTCTCCAACCCTCCTTTCTGACAGAGTGAACCACAGAGTATCATCCATGTCGCTAAAATGTTTTTCTACTTGGAACCAGCAGCTCTTGGACGTATTTCAGCATCTGAGGATGGTTCAGAATCTGCATGTGCTCCCCTTTCAGAATTTCAAACGTATACACAGGCTGGCTTTGCTTCGTCTTCAACAAGTTGCATGCTTTGAGCGAACGGACATTGACTGTTCCGTCGCCGTCGCCCATGATTTCTCTGGGCTGATAATCTGGAAAATAACCTTTTTTGTAGACCAGCATTTCCGGGGTGCTCACGTTATAGCCGTACATGCAGTGCATCTAAACACAGGCATCATTTCACGAGTTCTCTGAAAAATATACACCAAAAAATGTCTAATTATTTAATAGGAATTTGAATATTGAATACAGAACATGTAGGATACAGTAATGCTGAAATATAAAGTCCTAGTAAAGACAAATCTTCTCATTAGAACAGATGAAGAATGTGAAAAGTATGAGCAATGCGCAGCTCAAATGTTGCCGTGTCCAAGCTCCAATGAAAATGTAGAAGAGTTTGCAGCTTGACGAAGTCTCCCATGAAACTCAGCCATCTGTCACTGATGATACTGACGTCACCACGCATGACAGAGTCGTTCGTGTTTTGTTGTAGCACGTGCCAACCCTGGATTTTTTGCTGCTTTGTTATTATTCCATAACGGACTGTTGGAATCGTCAGAAGACAAGATTCGGAAGAAGAAGAAGCGGTTGGCAAACTGCTGAAAAATCTCCCGCCCAAAGCCTGCATTGTCCAACGATAGTTTCCAATAACTGCCCCTCAATTCTGCCGATGATCGATGACTTTAAGACGCTTCGCTCTTGAAGTCTCTTGTCAGCAACAGCAGCGTCACTCGCTTATAAGAAAATATCGGCTACATCACTCAGATGATCAAACTATGCATAGTTTGGATGACTTCGTTTCTTACCGCCTATCCGAAGTGATCGTCCCTCAAAAGTTAAGTCTCGCGGCGGCGGCATAACGGCGAATCAACTTGTTTCGAGAAGTTAGAATCCTGCGAAGACGATTTAAGGTGTCTCGCAGTGAGGTGCGAGTCATGCTGCCTCCGGAGAAAACACCTGGCCCAAAATCTGAGACATTTTTGCACTGTTTGCTTTGTTGCTTTACTTTACCTCATTTGCTTTATTCAGGCTTTTGAAACTTATTATGTGCCTTAGAGTTCTCGTAAGTACTTAAATTTGACAGATTAAAATAGAATTTGAGGAATAAGGTATTCAAGAGTACGTTAATGTACATGCACAAACAGTTCAAATTGTCGTCGAACAACGGCACTAATGTTTACAGTCTTAACTCCTTGCTTAATTTACGGCAAGAGCTCTCCTCTCTCTGTAGCAACATTGGTTTTGTTCCAGGTTAATCAGAGGGGTTTCTGCCTTAATTGCCTTAAACAAGGTCGATCAAGGAATGACAGCTCGGTGATTGTTTCTAGTGACATTTTAGGGAATGACCAATCCATCATAAATAAGGTCTCTGAGTTCTGAGAAGAAGCGGCCTGGTTGCAGCGGTTTCACAAATCGCGGGGTTATAAACTTCATCAGTCGTGTAAACCCTGCAATTTTCCTCTCTTCTATCTGAGGTCATGTTTTAGATCTCAGCTTGATCAGTCGGTAGTCAGCGACCAGAGAGGTTGTATTGGCAACAATATTTCATTTAACTCTTCTCTCAGTCGGTCATTCTTTGGTCACAATGGTCCTAGTAGGCCAGAGGCGAATTCGTTCCATCTTTTTAGAGGGCGATCAGGCACTTTCTTACTTTGCTGTGAGTATCACTCGGAGATATCGGCTGTCCTTCGGTATTCAGTCAAACGACCTATATTCAGATATGAGCCATGTAAATTAAACATATTATTCATGGATGGTGTTTATGCTAATTGC